TTGATGTCGAAGCCTGCAGACAGCACGTGCTCGTTGCTCAGCGAGGACACGATACTGTACAACTGACCTGGGGGGCAGGAGGGGCAGGGGGTCAGCGGGGAGCTCGGGGGTCACCCCAGTGCCCCGGCACAGGAGGGTCTGGGGCCACTCACCTGAGGAAAGTAGCTTACGACAACAGTCTGAAAATCCGAAGAGAACAGCTAAGTGCAGAGGGAACATGTCGTGGATCCCACGCCTGCAAGGAGAGGAGAAGGGAGTCAGGGTGGGGCACGGATTCTGTGTGTCCAGAGAAGGGAATGGACCTGGGGAAGGGGCTGGAGAAGAAGGAGAAGGGGCTGGAAAATTGAGGGAGCTGGGGGGCTCAGCCTGGAGAAAAGGAGGCCCAGGGAGGACCTTCTTGCTTTCCACAACTCCCTGACAGGAGGGGGGAGCTGGGAGGGAAGTCAGGCTCTGCTCCCAGAGAACAAGGGACAGGACGAGAGGGAACGGCCTCAGGTTGTGCCAGGGGTGGTTTAGGTTGGATAATAGGGAAAATTTCTTCACTGAAAAGGTGAAGGCACTGGCACAGGCTGCCCAGGGAAGTGGGGGAGTCACCATCCCCAGCAGCATTCCAAAGGGATATGCATGTGGCACCTGGGGACATGGTTTAGGGGTGAACACGGTCCTGGGCTGACAGCTGGACTCGATGACCTTAGAGGTCTTTTCCAACCTTAATGATTCCATGATTCTGTGATTCTACAGCTGCATCCTCCAGTCTGGAGCAGGGGGAGGAAGGAAGGGACCTGCCTTACCTTGCAGTGTCAGCACCATTCGTCATCAAAGTACTAATTAGCAGCTCGTGGCCGTATCTAGCAGCAACGTGGAGGGGGGTATTGCCGTATTTGTCAGCACAGTCGATCTCACTGCCTGCAAGGGAAAGGCCAAGGGCTTTGCCAGCGGTCCAGCCTCGAGCAGCCCAGGCTGTTTCAACCCTGCATTCCCATCCCAGGGACACGGCTGACACCTCGAGTCCACCCAGCATCCTGCAGGAGAACTGCAAACTGCCCTCAGAGCCCAGAGCCCACCTGTACCCTGCAAGCCCTGGGCATCAGATCCCCCCTTCCCCCTGAGGGGATGGTTTCCACCCCGGAGGGCTCTGCTGAGCCCTGGGGTGTCTGCCAAGCCTGAGCCCTCTCACAGGAATATTGTCTTTCAGGCTGTGGCAGTGGGAATGTTGTTTGGCTGGAGCAGCTCTGACCTGGCTGGAATTTCAGTCCCTTGGTCTGCACTTTGCTGCCTTTGGGCACAGCAGTCCCTGTTACCCCCAAGAAGCACCAGCCTCTGGAGAAAAGGAGGCTCAGGGGGGACCTTCTCACTCTCTACAACTCCCTGACAGGAGGGGGGAGCCAGGTAACAAGAGAGAGGACGAGGGAACAGCCTCAAGCTGTGCCAGGGGAGGTTTAGATTGAATGTTAGGAGGTAGATATTATCCCAGGGCACAGAAGGAGTTTAAGTGATGACTGCAGAGGTCTTAAACCCCCCGAGCAGACTCGCCAGGAGGTCCTGGAGGCACAAGAAAAGTCTGGGATAACCCAGGGCTGGCGGAGCAACCACTCACCGTTCTGGATGAGGATCTGCGACCGCGTGAACCGTCCGTGGATCGCAGCCATGTGCAATGGGCTCTTCCCTTCCTTGCTCTGCGAGAGCAGAACCAACGTCACAGCAGTGCCACCCCACCAGCCTCCCCGAGCTCCTGCTCCTGCTCCCAAAGATTGCAGACCTGAAAGTTGACATCGGCCCCGTTGTTGACGAGGATCTCCAGGCACAGGGCCCCGTTGGTGGAGACGGCAGCGAAGTGCAGGGGGGTGAAGCCCTTCTCGTTGGGCTGATTGACGTTGGCACCGACGTTGACCAGCTCGTTGGCCACGGCGTCCTGGCCCATGTAACAGGCGATGTGAAGTGCAGTGTTACCGAAGGAATTTGGTTCATCGATCTGCGGGAGCACCCGAGTCCAGAGGAGTTGGGGATTCAGGAAGGAAAAAAGGCAGCTGAGAACCACCTCGAGCTCCTGCCACCACCCAGCACCCTCTCCCACTCCTGTCTCCAGCCTGGCCTGCACCTGAGCAGCACCCTGAGCAGCTGTGGGGGTCTTACCTCGACCCCCAGCCTCAGGAGGTGTCGCACGACCTCGATCTGGCCGCTGGCCGCCGCCGTGTGCAGGAGGGTGTAGCCCTTCTTGTCCTTACACATCACATCAGCTCCCCGGGCCACCAGCAGCTTCAGAACTTCCAAATGCCCTGTCCAGGAGACAGTGGTAAGAGCCAGGGACCCCGGAAAACACAGGTTCTCTGGGGAGCCCCATCTCTCCAACTCTCTCCCCGATCCTGCCGGTGGGCGAGCGGCTCTGAGGGGTTTGGGGGCTGCCTCGGGGTGAAACCACGACACCTACCCAGGAAAGCTGCCCAGTGGATGGGCTGCCGGTCCTTCTTGTCACAAGTGCTCGGGCTGGCCCCTTTGTTCAGCAGCAGGTTCACCATCTGCACGGGGAGGAGCGGTGAGAGGGGCCGGGCCCTCGCTGCCCCGGGGCGGAGGCGGCGGGCGCGGCCGGGCCCCTCTGCTACCTCCGAGTGTGGCCGCTGTGCACGGCGTGGTTGAGCCGCCGTGCGGCCCGTGGCGGTCGCCACGTTGACGGTGCTGAGCTAGGCGGCACCAGGGCCGGCCACGGCACTTGGTGGCCCGGTTGGCCGCGGCCAACGGTGCAGCGGCGTTGCCAGTGCTTGTCGCGGGCATTGACGTCCGCAGAGTGCTTCAGGAGGAGGTGAAGTGCCTTCTGCGGGAGCAGAGGAGAGAGGGGGGGCTCTAACCTGGCCTAACAGAGCCCTGGGAGGCCCCCAGGTCCTCCTCGTCCTTCCAGAGCCACAGCAGCCCCGGAGCCAGGGCCGGCCGAGCCGTGACTGCTCCACACGCTCCGGTGCGGTGGCTTCTCCCCACCCCTCAAAGGAAAGGGTCTGTTTGCTCCCATGTCCCCAGGGACACCCCCGAGACACATGTGGCTGTTTCAGCACGTTATCACACAGAGGTAGAGGCAGCATCACAGAGGCTCCAGGAACAAGCAGAGAGAAGGGATCTTGCTGGTGGAAAAGGCCCTGGGCGTGCTGGTGACAGCGGCTGGACGTGAGCCCAGGTGTGCCCAGGTGGTCAAGGAGGCCAGTGGTCCCTGGGCTGTGCCAGCCACGGTGTGGGCACAGGCCCAGGGCAGGGACTGTCCCCCTGTGCTGGCACTGCTGAGGCCCCTCAGGGCTGTGCCCAGTTCTGGGCACTCACGGCAAGAGAGACATGGAGGGGCTGGAGCGTGTCCAGAGCTGGGAAGGGAGCTGGGGAAGGGGCTGGAGAACACCCCGAGCCATGGGATTAAGGGGGTGGGTGTTCACCTGTGACTCACCAGGGGCGGGGATGACAAACGTGACCCACTGACCTACATGTGACACTCATTTCCCCCTGTTGCTGTGCAGGCTCTTGGCTGCAGCCCCTCATTTTCGGTTTCACCTCCCCACGGCACCACCTGCAGCCATCCCAACCCCACGGATTACTGCCCTGCTCTTTGCTCCCAGGCCTGGAGTGGCACATGGAGCCAAGAAACACCAACCCAGCAACCCTGGAGAGCGGGCTCCAGGCAGGGAAAGCGTTTTGGGAAGGCTCCTCTCAGGAGCTGGGCTTGCCCAGCGCTGGCAGAGCCCTGTGCCAAGCACCTGGGGAGGAACAGAACGAGGGAGGAGACAATCCAGCACTTCCCAGGAGGAGAAGCAACGAGAGTGCCCAGATTCCCAAACTCCCAGACAAGCAGCACGAGCTCCATGTTTTAGGGACCCACAGGGACTGTCCACACACATTCCAACAAACACCTTCTGGAGGGGTTTACCCTCATGTTCCATCCCGGGTCTCCTGCTGATCAGAATTCCATGGGTGGTAACTCGCCCCGCACGTCACTCAGGGCTTTGGATCTCCTGGCTCCAACCAACAGTTCCTCACTCTCCAGCAACTCAAACCAGGGCAAAGTTAAGTGGGATGAAGTTAAACCCACAAAAGATAAACACCGGGAAAACTTTCCAACAGGATCTGTTGGAATCAGCTCCTGAGAGACAGGGTGAGAGCCCCAGCATCCCTCAAAGGAATGTAAGGCTGGAACAGACAAAGCCCTGGGGAAGGAGTGAAGGCAGGGAGGAGAATGTGGGGAAAACCCACAGGTTGACTCCTGCAGGATGGAGGGAAGGGAACCAAGGGGGGTTTTGTTCCAGCTCCCATTTGCAGCCTCTGAACTTTGCATTCGGCCCTTTCCTGCTCTAATGAGACCCCCCATCTGAGCCCAAACCAGGCAGGGTGGGAAGGAGGAGGAGAAGCACAGCCCCCTCCTCCCACGGGGAGCAGACAGAGCCAGAGGCCCCTTCCCGGGGCACCCACCTCGTGCCGAGAGGCCGCGGCGCGGTGTAACGGGGTGAGCCAAACCGTGTCCTTGGCGTTCACATTAGCACCTGGGGGACAACAGAACAGGGGTCAGGGAGGGCCCACCGCCCCCAAGGCCCCTCTTCTGCCTCTCTTTGCTGCCCAGAACCCCACACACAGGCAGGCAAAAGGCCACACAGGGCAGGCAAGGGCACCCCGAGCTCCGCAGATGGAGCTGAACGTCCCGGATCCCGTTTAACGAGCCCTCGGCAAAGAATGTGCCCGAGTCTCTCCCTGCTGGGGTCACACAGGATCACAGCAGCCTCGGGGTTCCCTCACTCCACAGTGTCCCAGGGCTCCACAGCTGAGGAGCAGAGAAGGAGACTCAACACTCAGCACACAGGGCCCAAGCACTGGCTGTGTTGAAAGAGAAGCGAGGGCACCTTCATGGCAAGTGACACAACCCAAAACTGAGCAAAATCCCCTGGATTTTGGCTCTGGGAGCAAGGGGAACTGCTGCTCTGAGCACCCTGCTGTCCAAGCTGTGCATCCTCCTCCTCCAATGCCACACCCCCCCCTCCTGGCTCCATTTCCACCTCGGCTATTTCAGTTCCAAGACACTTCTCCGCCTGAACAAACCTCTTAGGATTATGGCAACATTCCCTAATCTTCCCCTGGCTGCAACCTCGCTGGATTAAGCGTGAGCACAGGGTTGGAGGGTGACCAAACCCTGTCTTGCTGCACCCCCGAGGCCAGGGGGGATCAGGGGTGGCTCCGAGGCAGCGCCTGTGCCAGATCCCAGCCTGCCCCGAGCCCCAGCCCTCACCTGACAGGATTAGGAGCTCGAGGATTGCAACATCTCCTATGTAGGCAGCAGCATGGAGCGGTGTTCGGCGTTCTTGGTCCTTGAGGGGAAGGAACAAGAACCATCCGTGAGCTTGGAGGGCAGGGAGAGGGCTGGGAGATCCTCCTCCTCCTCCTCCTCCTCCTCCTCCCAGACACCAACACTGCTGTGAGAGGCTGGAGTGTGTCCAGAGCTGGGAAGGGAGCTGGGGAAGGGGCTGGAGCACCAGGACAAGGGGCTGGACAATTGAGGGAGCTGGGGGGGCTCAGCCTGGAGAAAAGGAGGCTCAGGGGGGACCTTCTGGCTCTGCAACCCCCTGACAGGAGGGGGGAGCTGGGAGGGGGTTGGGCTCTGCTCCTAGGGAACAAGGGACAGGACAGGAGGGAACGGCCTCCAGCTGTGCCAGGGGAGGGTCAGGTTGGCAATGGAAACCCTTCCCAGGATCTGATCTCGGCATGGGAAGGACCAAGGAGTGCCAGGTGAGGGACAGGAAGGATTTGGGGAGAGCTGGGTGAAGGATGGGAAGGATTTTGGGAGAGCTGGGTGAGGGATGGAGCACCAGCTCTCACCAGTACATTGATGTTCTCCTTCTGATTCAGCAGCGACCGAACCTCCTCCACATCCCGGTTGAAGATGGCTTGGACCAGAGGAGGCTGCAAAGGAGAAGGGAAACGAGTCTTGATGGTGGCACCACACAGAAGATGTGAGAGGGAGGAGAACTTGCAGTGTTTCCATGTGCCAGAGGCTCCACACCAGCCTGACCCAGCTCCAGGAGCGAGTCCCATGCCCGGCCCGCCGGCAGCACCCAGCAGCTTCCTCACCCCTGTGGCCCAGCCAGCACCAGGGACCAGTTCTCCAGCCAGCAAAGACACTTTTCCTGGTTGTTCATTGAGAAACAGAGCAAGGAATCATTGGAAAAGCCTCCCTGCTTCCCAAGGAGTCCAAGGAGCAGCACTGACGATGCACAGCTGAGATCTCCACACACAGCACCCAGCACGTGCTCCCAGTCACGGGAACAGGTCCAGCTCCTACCACCCAAAATTTGGGCACAGCCAGAAATCCCTCTGGTAATGGAGCCCCAGCCCAGGTCGGAGCTGCTGGAGCCCCTTTGCTGCTGGGACAGGGCAGTGGGAAGGTGCTGCCCAACCTCCGGGCACCACCTGCCATCCCTGAACCCCATTTCCCCTTTCCAGGCCTAAAAATGCCATTTTCCTGAAGAAAAATGGGAGCAGAGGCTGCTCTTGGGCTGTTCAGCACCCAGCACGTCCCCACTTCAGCCTCGGAGCTGCTGCAGCTTTTGGGACGGAGGATCCTGGGTGCTGTGACCCCCTGCAGCCCCTCAGCTCTGCCCACCCCCCAAAGGCTGGATTTGATGTGGAAACCATTGAGCCCCACTCTTCTCAGCCTCTCCGGCACACACCGAGCTCCATTTGGAAGTGACCCCTTCCCATCCCTGCCTCATCCCAAAATAAGGGCACTCAAACCCCGGGAACACATCCTGGGCCAGGGCAGCGCCTGCGTCATCCCCCTGGAATGCAGCAGCCTCGGCATCACTTGTTAGACAGTAAAAAAGGGGGTTTTTTTACCAAAAAAAAAAAAGAAGGAAAGGCTGGAAAACCAGCGTCTCCGGCGGCGGCGCTGGGTCTGACACACCCACCCACCGCGGGAGAGAGGAATGTTTGGGTTATCCCGAAAAATAAAGTTCTGTTTCAATCAGAAACGGTGGCCTTGGGTCAGCCCCCTCCTCCTTCACCCCCTCATCCCCAGCCCACCCCCCAGGCTTCCAAACAGTGGGAACAGGGGGGTCCGAGCCCAGGTCACTCCGGGGTCACAGCTCCAGGAATGGGACACGACAGAGTGGCCCAGGGAGCAGCCACCGGCCAGGGAGGGTGACCCTGCACCCCAGATGTGCCCCCAAAACCTGATGGGGATGCCCTGCACCCCAGATGTGCCCCCAAAACCTGATGGGGATGCCCTGCACCCCAGAATCATCCCTAAAACACAGTAAGCCAACCCTGCACCTCAGGGGTGTCCCCAAAATCACTCTCCACCACAGAAGCATTCCTAAAACACGATAGGGACACTCTGCACACCAGAGGTGTCCCCAAAACCTGACAGGGATGCCCTGCATGCCAGGGGTGCCTCCAAAACATGATAGTTACACTCTGCACCTCAGAGGCGTCCCCCAGGCTTTATGGGCACACCCTGCACATGAGGAGCATCCCCAAAACCATGCTGGGGACACCCTGCACCCAAGGGTGTCCCAAAAAGCTGCTGGGGACTCCCCACAAGCCAGGGCCAACCCCAAACCTGATGGGGGCATGCTGCACCCTAAGGGTGTCCCTAAAACTCAACAGGGACCCCAGGACCGTCCCCAAAACCATGATGGGGACACTCTGCATCCCAAGGGTATCCCAACACCCGCTGGGGACTCCCTGCACGCCAGGACCCTCCCCAAAACCCGACAAGGACACGCTGCACCCCACAGGTGCCCCCAAAACCCCACGGCGACAACCCAGCGCCCCAAGGGGAGACCCCGAACCCGACGGGGACAACCCGCAACCAGAGGTGCCCCCCAAAACTTCTCTGGGGCCACTCCGCACCCAAAGCGTGTCCCCAAACCCGGCGGGGGACATCCCGCACCCCGGGAGCATCCCCCAAACCCGGCGGGGCGGCGGCGGGAGGCGCAGCG